AGCCATCATTGTTGTTTGGCAGGCCCGGGCTAGATTCGAACCCGCCACCTTAGGTGTATGTGGCTGGTGCCTTAGCCACTTGAGCCACAGGCGCCGAGCCAAGAGTTCTTTAGACTAGCTCAAAAGAAGAGATTGAAGAAATATTATATAACATTGATGTCAAGCTTTCTGATGAAGAGTTTGAAAATGTATGGAATTTTGCATTAAAAAATATCACAGAGAAGTTTGTATTGAGAACATTAGAAATATTGTAGATAAGCTACAGCATGCAGACCAGATCAAATGTAAAACATCTATGTGATATTTTTAGAGTTCATTTATTCAGACAAAAGAATTGTTAAATCTGTGTTTATCTAAAATGTTCTATTCATTCTGGTTTTATGTATTATATTAGAATTCAGCAATCACTTTGGTAGGATTCATATGCCTATATGTATTGCTAATAAATTAGATTTTGGATTTTAAAATTTATTGTTCTCCCTGCCTTAATGGAAATGAATTGTTGAAATGAATCTACCTTTAGTTCAATAAAAGCACTCCAGAACTTGGGGGAAAAAAAGGAAAATTCTCTGTTGTAGGTTTAATTGCCTACATACATTAAAGTGTAAAATGAAGGGGCCTATCTCAGAGGACCATTAGCACCTAATCCATGGTAAGTTAGAACTTCTCTATTATGACACAGCGCTGAAAACCAAAGCAGAAGTGTTTTTCTGTTTTGAGGTTCTGGTGCCACTTTCTTCTCTGAGGATTCTGAGAAGGAGAGAAGTAGGATGAAATTGAAACTTCATTTACTCTGTTGAAAACCACTGTCCTCATGCTATGAACTCTGCATTTGTGGGACAAATGGATTAGTACAAATTAGTCAATAGTGAGAATGTGAGCCAAGGCTTTTGCTAGAACTGGTGAGTATGCCGTCTCATTCTATACAGTCTGGTTTGTATGAAGCCTCAGAGCAGTTTCCCACATTTGACTCACTGCCTATCACATGTGCAGTTAGTCATATGTGAGTGCTACCTGTGCAAATTTATTTAGTGATTTTCTTTAAATAAAATCTTAGGTAAATTTATTTTAAAGAGTCTATGCATTAATTTCTAGATGCCAGTGGATTAATAGTCTGACTTGAAAAATTCCTCAAGCTAAGTCCAGCACATCATTATATTTATACTACAGTTTGGAAAACACTGTGTTAGAGGATGTCTGTTCAAAATTCAAATTCAAATTAGTTTGATTTATTTCAGCCTTTGACATGGTTCAAGATCCAATGGCAGCTCTAGAGACTCTCTTAACCTTGGGATTTGAACGAGTATTGACCAGTGGATGTGACAGTTCAGCACTAGAAGGGCTACCCCTAATAAAGCGACTCATTGATCAGGTACTCACAATTTCTTTTCTTTCTTCCTAAGACTCTTTTGTGGTTACTCCTGGCATTTTGTTGTTCAGCTGGGTTGTGAAACTAAATATTACTATAATAGTGAATTTTCATAATTCTTATTTCTTTCACTTGAGCTTTTCTTTTTCTAAATCATTTTTTAGGGCTGCTATAGCAAAGTAAATATGAACGTTTTTAATGACCAAAGTCTTTTAGGATATAATTATGTATAGGCAGTGCCTGAGGGTCTGACCTAATTTGGATAACCAGAGCAAATTTTACCATTCTCTGCCATTAGCATTGCAGTTTTAAGCCACATCTCTTCATTGTTAACCCAGGCACACTCAGGGGAGCCCATAATCCCATATAAAACTGAGGTAATTGTCATCTAAAGGTAAATTCCAAAATTAAAATTATATTTTTATTTCACTGCTTCCCATCTATCAGCATATTTCAATATTTTTTTTCCTTTATGAGTTCTCCGGATGAGCTAGCATCAGTAGACAAAGGATGGCTTTACAATTGTGGTATGTCTGTGTTTTTCTAATGCCAGTCCAGAGGAATTATAAGTTAGTGAGTACAGACTTTGAGATGAGAGAGAGTTTTGTGTTTGACACTTGCCGTGTGATGTTGAGTATGTTACTAACTCATTAAGCCTCTGTTTTCTCATGAAAACAGCTGAGTTTAATACTTCCTTTATAGATTTTCTCAGAGGATTATAGAGATAAGAATATAAGAGCCTTAGCACAGTACTTGGTATATGGTAGGGTTTTTAAATTTTTTTTTGCAGTTTTTTTGGCCAGGGCCAGGTTTGAACCCACCACCTCTGGTATATGGGGCTGGCACCCTACTCCTTTGAGCCACAGGCACTACCCAGTATATAGTAGGTTTTAATACATGTTACTTTCTATAATTATTACTGCTTATTATGGATAATATGATTTAGTGTTCCTATGCCAACATCTGCTTATTTTCACTCTCTGTAGCTATAAAAATAATTTTCAGAAATTTCTCTTGGCCGGGCACAGTGGCTCACACCTATAATCCTAGCATTCTGGTTGGCCAAGGCAGGTAGATTGCCTGAGCTCACAGGTTCAAGACAAGCCAGAGCAGAGCAAGACTCCATCTCTAAAATTAGCCAACTGTTGTGCAGGCATCTGTAGTCCCAGCTGCTTGGGAGGCTGAGGCAAGAGAATCACTTGAGTCCAAAAGTTTGAGGTTGCTGTGAGCTATGACACCGTGGCACTATATTGGGGCAAGAAAGTAAGACTCTGTCCCCCCCCCCAAAAAAAATTTCTTTTGATGATCTGATGTGACTTTACTACTTTGGAGCTTATCGATTTGACAAGTATTTATGAAATATAAGGTGCAGGACATTTGTACCATGGTAGTGACCACAGGGTGGGAATAAATGTGTGTATATGTATAGTCATTGCCCTTCCACTGTAGTGCACAGCAGGTACTTTTTTTTTTTGAGAAAGAGTCTTATTCTGTCTCCCAGACTAGAGTGCAGTGGTATCATCATAGCTCACTGCAACCTCAAACTCCTGGCCTGCAATCCTGCCTTAGCCTTCCAGAGTGCTAGGATTACAAGCACGAACCATGGATCCTGGCGTTAGAGTACTATTTTTAAAAGGTGCTGTGGAAGTATATTAGAGTGAAATTAACCCCAAATTTGAGGGATGGAGGGTGACAATACTATTAGGGAAAGTTTCCCAGAAGAAAAGATGTCTAAACTACAATGTCTTACTTATTTCAAGGATTATTGGGGAGTTATCCATGTAAAATTGGGGGTTAATGCAGTGGAGGAACTGTTCCATGCAGAAGAAATAGTATATGCAAAAGCCTGGAAACAAAAGCTAGCATGTCTAAGATAATGAAGAATGATCAGAATGTTGAATATGGAGAGAAGAATGCTATCTAGAGCATTGAAAAATCTTGTTAAAGGGCTTGTGTTTTATCTTTGGTGCAATGGGGAGGCTTGAGACATTTTAAAATAGAAGATTTGGTGAATCAGATTTTCAACTTAAAAAGGTTACTCACTAAGGAGTAGAGAATAATTGCCATCATCATGTATTTCAGTTCAAAATGTGTGTCACCATGTGCTTTTTGCGTGTTTATCATTGGTTGGCAAAAGAAGCTGGACTAAATACTCTCATCCTCTAATTTTACTTCTTGAAGTAACCTAGCAGTATAAAGTGGTGATTAAAGCACAGGCTTTGGGATTAGACTGGTCTGTTTAAATCCTGGTTTTGCCTTTTATCATATGAACACTAACCTAGGGCAAATTATATAATCATACTAAACCTCAGTTTTATTTTATTTTATTTTATTTTATTCATTTTTTGAGACAGAGCCTCACCATGTCGCCCTTGGTAGAGTGCCATGGCGTCACAGCTCACAGCACCCTCAAACTCTTAGGCTCAAGGCTCGGCACCTGTGGCTCAAGCGGCTAAGGCGCCAGCCACATACACCTAAGGTGGCAGGTTCGAATCCCCAGCTCGGGCCCGCCAAACAACAATGATGGCTGCAACCAAAAAAAATGGCCAGGCGTTGTGGTGGGCGCCTGTAGTCCCAGCTACTTGGGAGGCTGAGGCAGGAGACTCGCTTGAGCCCAGGAGTTAGAGGTTGCTGTGAGCTGTGATGCGATGCAGCTTGAGGCTCTGTCTCAAAAAAAAAAAAAAAAAAAACTCTTGGGCTCAAGCAGTTCTCTTGCCTCAGCCTCCCAAGTAGCTAGGATTACAGGAGCCCGCCACGACGCCCAGCTATTTTTTGTTGCAGTTGTCAATGTTGTTTAGCTGGCCCGGGCCAGGTTCGAACCCGCCAGCCTCAGTGTATATGGCTGGGCGCTATAACCACTGTGCTTTGGGCACCAAGCCAAACCTCAGTTTCCTTATCTGCAAAGTTAGGCTAATAATAGTGCTTACTTCCTGGAATAGCTGTGCCAGATTACTTCAGATAATAGTACAATGTCTGGCACTTATTAAGGGCTTTACATTGTTAAATCACTTTGATAGCCTTAGGTAAGCAAATACTTATAAATAATCCTTTATGGAAGGCCAGAAAAGTAATAGAATTTTTTTTTTGTTTTTTGTTTTTGCAGTTTTTTGGCCATGGCTGGACTTGAACTCAGTAGGGCAGCGCCCTACTCCTTGAGCCACAGGCACTGCCTTAGAATTTGTTTATTTAAAAATATTATTTGTCGGCTCAGCACCTATACCTCAGGCGCTAGGGCACCAGCCACATACACTGGAGCTGGTGGGTTTGAACCCAGCCTGGGCCTGCCAAAACAACAATAACAATTACAACAAAAAATAACCAGGCATCGTGGCAGGTACCTGTAGTCCCAGCTACTCAGGAGGCTAAGGCAAGAGAATTGCTTAAGTCCAAGAGTTGGAAGTTGCTGTGAGCTTGTGACGCAATGGCACTCTACCAAGGGGGGCATAGTGAGACTCTGTCTCCAAAAAAAAAAAAATACATATATATATGTATGTATTATTTGTCTGTGTTTTTGAAAGCCTTTACTTGGAATAATTAAATGTGACATTTTTCCCACCTAAAATACTGCAGCTTTCTAGATAGTAAATGCTTTCTTTTACAGATGCTTTGCTTTAGCCCATTTCAGACTATCAAATATCCTTTCTGGTTAGAAAGTTGCTATGTTAAATACCTTACTTGTCTGAGATCCCAAAGAAATAGAGAAGGTCTATGGAAAATGAGACATTAAAAGTAATTTTAAAAATTTAGTATACTTTGACTCATGTTTCTATTCTCACTGCCTAATTATCCCATTCAAAAGAAAGATATTACAATTTACATGTTTTTTTTTTCTTTTTTCAGGCAAAAGGCAGAATTGTGGTAATGCCAGGTATTTATTTATTTATCCATTTGTTAGCATTAAAACTGAACTGTAGCAGAGGAAGACCAAAGGAAACTGGAAAATGTGGGAGAAAGTGTTAGTACCTAACACATTAGTACAGTATTCAGAGAGAAGAATGTGTAGTTTTATTAAAATGTTTCACATTAGGAGATCATGCTGAAATTTAAAAATTTTGATAAGGAGGAAACTGTTCTCACAGGAATTAGCTCAGAGGGGAGCAAACAAGGAAATAGATTGAAATTGCAGTTTCTCGGTGTTTCCTCTCCCGTGGTATAGAATATTACGCATTTGGATGTTTAACTCTGGTGAGATACATCAAGTTTGATGCTCCTGTAGTGTGTGATCCTGGCTGTTAGCAGAGTGTAAACAAATGTTCAGGCAGCATGCCTGAAGAAATTAAATACTCTCTCAGTTCCCGAAAAATCTCTGATCACCAAATTCTTTACTATAGCTGAATAATTTGATATTATTATATTCTCCTGATAATAACCATAAGATCAGTTAGGTATAATGGCTTGTTAAAAATGAACAGATGGGGCTTGGTGCCAGTAGCTCAAGTGACTAAGGCGCCAGCTGCATACACCTGAGCTGATGGGTTCGAATCCAGCCCAGGCATGCCAAACAACAATGATGGCTGCAACCAAAAAATAGCCAGGCATTATGGAAGGTGCCTGTGGTCCCAGCTACTTGGCAGGCCAAGGCAGGAGACTCGCTTGAGCCCAGGAGTTGGAGGTTGCTGTGAGCTGTGATGCCACGGCACTCTACCCAGGGGGACAGCTTGAGGCTCTGTCTCAAAAAATAAATAAATAAATAAATAAATAAACTGATGGGACACTTTTTAAAGACAGTCTCATTTGTTGCCCTCAGTAGAGTGCTATGGCATCACAGCTCAAGCAACCTCCAACTCCTGGGCTTAGGCAATTCTCTTGCCTCAGCCTACCCAGTAGCTGGGACTACAGGGGCCTGCCACAACACCCGGCTATTTTTTTGTTGCAGTTTAGCCAGGGCTAGGTTCGAACCTGCCACCCTTGGTGGCACCCCAGGGCTGGCACCCTACCCACTGAACCACAGGTACTGCCCTATACTGAGGTATTTTAAAGTTAAATTAAAAGCATCATGACATTTTTATTCATCTTTTTTAAAAAAGGACATTTTACTGTAACCACAATACTATTATCACACCTACGAAAATAAATTCCCTCATACTATATGATAGTCAATACTCACCTTTCTTCTGTTGTCCCCAGAATAGTTTTTAATAGCTTGATATGTTTAAAGTAGGATCCAATCCAGGAACATTGCTTTTTCTTTTTTTTAATGAGATGGAGGTTTGACCATGTCTCTATCCTCCAGCTCTTGGCCTCAAGCAATCCTTTCCCCTCCTGCCTCACTGGTTCTATAGGAACATGCGCCCTTGCCTAGCTAATATAATTTTCTTTTTTTGGTAAAGACAAGGTCTTGCTATGTTGCCCAGTTGATCTTGAACTCCTAGCCTCAAGCAATCTTTCTGCCTTGGCCCCCCAGATTGCTGGGATTACAGGCATGAGCCAACACACCTAGCCATTTATCTTGCTTTTTTTTTTTAATTGCATTTAAAAGTTTGGACCACTTACCCTGTAAAATTTCTTGCTTTCTGCATTTATCAGATTGTTTCCTTTTGTTATTGTTTAGCTTGTTTCTCTGGCCTCTGGATTTCATATAAACTGGTAGTTTCTCTAGTCTCTGGATTTTATATAAACTGATATTTAAGAAAGTTTTGATCTGTAGCATGTCCCTGAAACATGAGCTTATAGAAAATATATATTATCTGTCAAATTGGGACCCTTTTTAGATTTACGAAGAGTATTAAAGAGACTTGCTGAATCTGGTGCCTTTCTATTTAAGACTAAATGTATATAGTCTTGATAACTAATACCCTAGACTTAGGCAGTTGTTAACATTAAGAATACATTTGCTGGCCAGGTGCTCATGCCTGTAATCCTAGCACTTTGGGAGGCCAAGGCAGGTGGATTGCCTGAGGTCATGAATTCGAGATTAGCCTGAACAAGAGCAAGACCCCGTCTCTACGAAAAAAAAAAATATTTGGGAGGCTAAAGCAAGAGGATTGCTTGAGCCCAAGAGATTGAGGATGCTATAAGCTATAATGCCATGGCACTCTACTAGGGGCAAGAAAAGAAAAAGAATACTTTTGCTTAATATGCAATTATTAAGTTACCTTCCATGTGGGGGGCATTATTTGCGATGCACAGTTACACGAGAAACTACTTTCTGAAGAAGCTGATAATCTTGTGACCTATGAGGATGTTATATACAAAAATATTTGTGATTAATTTAAGAAACCTTATTAAGCAAATGCTAATTATATGCCAATTTTAATTATGTATGCTAATTATATGATAAATGTCAAAACAGAAATGAAGTAATCATTTTGCTTGAGGATCTCACAGAATAGATTTATAAATCAAATTATTACAATTTCATGTAAATAAGTACCAGTATGTAAAAACTCTTGGGTAAGTCAATCTGAGTGCCTAAGACATATTTATCATCAGGAAATATAAAGATAAATAAAACATAGTAGTTGCCCTCTAGGAACTTTCCTAATGAAACTTACAACATATTTAGGCTCTGGTTTATTTAACTGGAAAGAGAACAATATTGAACTGGTTGCTCTCTGGAGCCCCTTTTAATCACAGAGCTGTCTTAGTCTGTGTTTGGAAAATATATTACTCAGGTACTAAAGTTGCTAATAACTGAGCAATGTGTGTTTCAGTGGCCAGATGTTTTCTTATTTGTTAGAAGGAAATAATGTATTTGTCTCTTAATTCTTACAGTAAGCTCACAAGGTAGGCAATATTATCCCTTTTATTAGTAAAAACATTGAGATCAGTGGATTTAAATCATTTATCTAAGATCACACAGTTATGGAGAGCTACAGGTAAAGCCAAGATTCTAATGTAATAGCTTCTTAGCCTGTTTTTTCTACTTTTTTTCTTTCCTTTTTTTTTTTTTTTTTTTTTTGAGATGGATTCTCACTCTGTCACTCTGGGTAGAGTGCCATGACATCATAGCTCATAGCAACCGCAAACTCTTGGGTTCAAGCAATCCTCTTGCACAGCTTTCTGAGTAGCTGGGACTATAGGGGCCTGCCACAACACCCAGCTAGTTTTTTTCTATTTTACTTCTTAAGGCTAAGTGATTTACTGTACCACTAAGGAAAAAAAGTCAAGTTAATGAGTGTGAAAGAGTTTGTAAAGACAGGTTATTTTAGCAAGTTGAATAGCTTTAGGTGCAAAATACATATTTAATGTCATTAAAAATATTAAATGCATCCTATATATTAGAGACAAAGATAAAAGGTTGAGTAAACTAATTTCATATTTGAAAGATTTTCATCAAAACAAATGTCATCATAAAGTACTTGGTTGTATAGTTTTAATAAAGTAGAATCAGATTCTTCTATGAAATGAAACAAAAAGTTGATGTTGTGACTAATAATCTATATGACACCGTGTCTTATTCCTATTTCCAATGAAGTCAGTGTACTCTTCAAATCCTGCGCTAGAGACAGAACTTTTAACACATCTCTGAAGTTGTGCCTTTGTAGATTCTTTCTCACCTTGTCCTTACCTTTTGTTTTAATTTGATTTTGCTTTAATTGAGGGGAAAGCGGGGATGGAGCACTCAATGATTTTCCATGCCCCAGAGCAATTTTTTTAGATTTAAAGTGACTAATGTATAGCATTGTTATACATATATTTAGTATAGACAAATGGATTCTATCATATAGGTTCTGTGACTTCAATAGTTCTTCTCCAAAGTCTGTAGTCTATGTCTTTTATCACTTTTCTAATCTTGTTCTAGCTTAGTAGGGAGAGAGTAATTCTTGAATTAATGAGAATTTTCAGAATGGAAATTGCAGGTGAAGCAAACAGTCATTATTCATTATATTTTATGCAAAATTCTATTACTTAATTCTAACACTTAATGTATTATTTATCTTTCCAATAGCGGGTGGCATAACAGACAGAAATCTACAAAGGATCCTTGAAGGTTCAGGTGCTACTGAATTCCACTGTTCTGCTCGGTCTGCTAGGGACTCGGGGATGAAGTTTCGGTAAAAATGTACTCTTTGATTCAAATAAGAAAGGATGAGATTAATCTTTACTTTCCCATATAGGAAAATCTTAGTTGATGACATGATTAATGAATGGAATGTTGTGATTACTATGTAAGTATTATAGTCATTTTTGGAGTTGAAAAACATTTCTAACATGGTTCTCATGCCTTCAAAAAGCAGGCTCTCCTGAACTTGAGTGAACCTTTGTTATCACTAAGTAAGGTATTGATGAACTTAGACCAGTTAATAATAAACTGGCTAAATTTCAAATGAGTCAGATATGCACATGTGCCCATTTACCTAGGATTTCCTTTAGCAGAGTTAATAGCCATGGAGTAAGCATGGAAGAGTCGTGGCCATTTTTCTCTTGCCTACCTTTAATATGTAGTCTTCTCTCACTTTTCTTCTCAGTTTTCAGTTATTTTGAAATTTTATCACTGTTAAAGACTTGTGACTACTATGGGGTTTTTTAATACTTGAGAAGACTCTTGTAATTTAATAATAGTTGAATGTTTCTATTTATAAAAGTTGGGGAAAAGGCAATGTAAAAGGAGCAAGAACTTTCAAACTTAATTTTCCAGCTGTAAAGGTGAGTATACTGTCTGGTGGATTCAGCTACTGAATGTTTCAAGTAATAATGAAAATTATGGAATATAGTAGTCTAAGGTCTTTGATATACCCTTGTTCTTAAGCCATGAAATAGCCTGTAAAATAAAGTTCCAGCAAGAGGGCTTATTTAATAACTTATATAATCACCTGTTCCCTTATTATTTCTATTGCAGAAATTCATCTGTTGCCATGGGAGCCTCACTTTGTAACTCAGAATATTCTCTAAAGGTAACAGATGTGACCAAAGTAAGGACTTTGAATGCTATTGCAAAGAACATCCTTGTTTAGCCAGACTTCTCTGAGAGATATGGATATCACAGGATGAAGGTAGAAGTATAATCTACAATTCTCTGTGAAGCTTTAACCTTCTCTGGCCAGGACAATCACAATCTTTAAGTTTTACGTGGCCATAGAGAATGTTTCCAGGAAAAGAAAGAACTTGAAACACAGATATAATCACTTTCTTTGCTTACTTTTACTAATCATTGCCACCATCATCGTGGTTAAATCTGGCCTGTGCCTCTTCTAAAGACAGAAGTTTAGCCTATTTTCAGTGGAATTAATTCATAAACTGGGAAGATTCATCTGCAAGGTGTGAATTCAGTATTTTGCTTTTTCATTTGTAAAATAAAAATTTCCAGTCTATGGTATTGTCTCATTCATGCACAGAATATAGTCTTTGGCCAACTATGAAAGGACAGATATATTGTTTTCTCCTTTATTTTCTCTTTTCATTATGTACTCATTGAATATATTACCCTGGACAAGGTAGGGGTACAGAGTAAAATGATACAGCATAAAAATGCCAGATTTGGGAAGTAGAATATAAAATTTCCTAGACCTAAGGCCAGGCATAGTGGCTCATGCCTATAATCCTAGCACTCTGGAGGCTGAGGCAGCTGGATCTCCTGAGCTCAGGAGTTTAAAACCCAGCCTAAGCAAGAGTGAGACCCTGTCTCTACCAAAAATAGAAAATTTAGCCAGATATGGTAGTAGGCTCCTGTAGCCCCAGCTACTTGGGATGCTGAGGCAAGAGGAAGTCCTGGGCCCAAGAATTTGAGGTTGCTATGAGCTATGACTCCGTGGCACTCTATGCAGGGTGACAGGCTGAGACTCGGTCTCAAAAAATAAAATAAAATAAAATTTCCTAGACCTGTAAAGGGAGAAGTGATCTCTGGTGTTCACCAGGTTTCTTCTACTTCTATAAGCCCAGAGAAATAGGGTAACTGTGAAACCCATCTGACAATGTACAAAGACCTATAGTAAAAACCGAGGAGGTTAGGTAAGTTATCGAAGTAGCTGAACACTCAGGAGGAAAGAAGGAAAGCTGCTCTTCATTTGTTTTCAAAGCAGATTCATTTGAAGCAAAGTGAATCAACAGTTATCGTAAGTCAAATGTATAAGCACTTAGACCAGCGGTTCTCAACCTGTGGGTTGCAGCCCACAGGAACTGTATATAAAGGGCCGCAGCATTAGGAAGATTGAGATCCACTGACTTAGACCTTCTGCTTAGGAAAGTTTTTCTAATATGTTACCCTGAAACAAATTTATCAATAAATCCCAAAGATTTAGTATAAATAGTATACATATTTGCTTTCCTTTTTACTTTCTTAAAACAACAAATAAAATGCAGGCAAAGGACACGAAACACAACTGGAGGCTAACTTAGGAACTTAACGCTGACAATAAAAAAATCTAAAAAACTATGTTGGTTAGTGCTCACAGCAACCTCAAATTCCTAGGTTTAAGAGATTCTCGTGCCTCAGCCTCCTGAGTAGCTGGGACTATAGCTACTACACCATGCCCGGCTAGTTTTTTCAATTTTTTAGTAGAGTTGGGGGTCTCACTGTTCCTCAGGCCAGTCTCAAACTCCTGAGCTCAAGCAATCCACCCACTGTGGGTTCCCAGAAAGCTAGGATTATAGGTGTGAGCCACTGTGCTTAGCCTGGGTTCTACTTTTCAAGTAAGGTCAAACAACAGTTATACTGGCTCAGCACCTGTAGCTCAGTGGTTAGGGCACCAGCCACAGGCACCAAGGCAGTCAGGTTCAAACATGGCAAACAACGACAACAACAAAAATAGCTGGACATTGTGGCAGGTGCCTGTAGTCCCAGCCACTTGAGAGGCTGAGGCAAGAGAATCACTGTCTCTGGTGGAAAAAAAAACCGTGCAAGAACTGCAAGAGTTTACTTTTTACTGAGATACTCAATTTACTGAAGAGATAACTGCTAAAGTAGAGATAATTAGCGTCACACAGTATTTTAAACAGATACTTGGAACACTTGATCTGTCTGCATTAGCAACAGAAGGTGGCTACACAATTATTAAATACAGTATGTACTACAATTAATTGTATGCAGTTATGACTTTTTTTTGAGATGGAATCTCTGTCACCTAGGCTGAAGTGCAGTGGCACATAGTTCCCTAATTATGACTTAATATTTCATTATTGCTACTGTTTATATTTCTCTTGGATGCAAATGGTGGCTTCTGTGGTCTGTAAGTATGTGTGTTAAGTTTTGATAAATTTTAACTTTTTATAACAGATTCATGTGTATTTTCTGATAGACTTGATAAGACTTGTATCTACATATATTTTATGCATTCATTACATACCTTTTTCTTAATTTTTTTGATATTTCTAGGTCACATTGTTTGTCTGCAAATGTTTTCTACTTGTTGCAATTCTCCAAAAATTTTCTAACATTTATTTTAAAAAATCCACATACAAGTGGACATAACCAGTTCAAACCTGTTGTTCAAGGATCAACTTTATCAGCATCATCTTTCCCCATTTAATTTAATCTCTCATACAGTAAATAGTCAGTGGTGCAAAGGATAAAAAAATAAAATAAATTTAGAATGAAGAGTCCAAATAAGAAAAGAGTTTACTGTAAAGCAGATAAATTACAGCTATATTGTGATGGACTGTGCATAATATCAGGTTAAGGAATGTATATTTAATTTAATAGGTGGTTAAGAGCCATTAAAGGAACATTTTGTTTGGGGAAGATTAATATGAAGCATTCAAGATGAGGAAATTATTTACTAAGCTATTCCAAAACATAAGGCAGACTTTACTGGTGAATTCTATGAAACAAAGAATTAACACCAATCTGTTTTAAATTCTTCCAAAAAATAAGAGAAAAGGGAATACTTTCCAACTCACTTTATGAGCTAGTATTTCCTGTTGCCAAGATAAGACAAGAAAACTACAGACTGATATCCTTTATGAATACAGTTGCAAAACTCTCAGGAAAATACTAGTAAACCGTCCAACAACATAAAAGAGATGATATGCTACAACCCAGTATGGTTTATCCCAGGAGGACAGGGCTAGTTTAACATCCAAATATCAATCAATGTAATACTTTATATTAATAGACTAAAAGACAAAAATCACATGATCATCTCAATAGACATTGAAAAAATATTTGATAATCTGTAACACACTTTCAAGACAAAAACACTCAACAAATTTGTAATAGAGAGGAAAGTTCTCAACCTGGTAAAGAGCATCTACAAAAACAGCAACAAACCTCTCAGCTAAAATTGTATCATACTAACTACTTTATCCTTAAGATTAGGAAGAAGATGTTCACTCTCAGTACTCAACATTGTACGGGAGGTTCTGGCCAGGGCAATTAGGTAAGAAAAATAAAAAAGACATCCAGATTAAAATTAAAATGCTTCCTATTTACAGGTGACCTAATTATGTATATATAGAAAATTCTAAGAGAGAGACACACACATACACACACACACAAAATTATTAAAATTATTAATAAGGGCTGGCACAGTGACTCACACCTGTAACCTAGCACTCTGGGAGGTTGAGGTGGGTGGATTGCTTGAACTCATGAGACAAGACCAGCCTGAGCAAGAGCAAGACCTCATCTCTTAAAAATAGCTGGGTATTGTGGTGGGTACCTGTCATCCCAGCTACTTAAGAGGCTGAGGCAAGAGGATCACTTTAGCCTAAGAGTTTGAGGTTGCTGTGAGCTATGACTCCCTAGCACTCTACCCAGGGCAACTAAGTGAGACTCTGTCTCAAAAACAAATAAACAACAACAAAAAACACTAGTTAAGTGTAAGTTAAGTAAGGTTGCAGGATGTAAGACTGTGATATATATGTTTTTCTCCACAATTCCTGGCTTACAATTTTCATAGCCCTTGTTACAGTATTTTGTTATAATGTTGGGGTACCTTAGGGCATAAAACAGGCCTCAGAAAACAATTTCTCTCCTTGACCTTCTGCCCTTCTTTGACCTGCTCCTTTTTATCTCTAAGACAGGAATCTTTCCATGCCTTTCTTTCTTGGAGCTGGCCATAAAGAAATTCTCTGACCTACTTTGTTATAAGTCATAAGACCCCTATTTCACAAAGGGTCTTGCCCCACCCCCTAGGGAAAGGAATGCTGCACTGAGAGGCTAAGATGGATATGAACAGACAGGCCTTGTGGCTTTCCCCATCAGTGTGTTAATGTTCAATCATAGCCTTTTTGTCCAATCACATTTCCACGTGATTCTAAATCATGCTTCTCTAATGAAGTCTCCATAAAAGGCCCAAGAGGACTGAGTTTGGATAGCTTCCAGATAACTGAACTACTTAGAAGTTTCCAGGAAGATGAAAATTTTCCAATATATTTACTGAAAAAAATCCACATAGAAGTGGACCGGCACAGTTCAAAACTCACGTAATTCAAAGGTCAACCCTATCAACTTCCATCTTTACCAGCCACCATGTGCTGAGAGGGTGGTGCACCCCAACTCCACAGGAACAGAAGCTCCTACCCAGGAGACCCTTAACAGAGCTTGCTTAATGTATCTCCTCATCTGGTTGTCTATTTGTATCCTTTAAGATATCCTTTGTAATAAACTAGTAAGCATGTTTCCCTGAGTTCTGTGAGCCACTCTAGCAAAATAATCAAACCCAAGGAGGTGGTTGTGAGAACCGCAATTTATAGCCGATTGGTGAGAAGCATGAGCAAAATATCCTGGGGCTTGCAATTAGCATCAGAAAGGGGGTCAGTTTGGGGATTGAGCCCTCAACCTGTGGGATCTGATTCTATCTCAAGGTAGATAGTCTCAAAATGAATTGGCCTGCTATGCAATTAATTGATTGCTTGCTTTGTATATGGGGGGTAAGCTCACTCACATTTGGTCACAAAAATCTGTGTTGATTGTTGTGAATGAAAGAATAGAAAAAGCACTTTTAAGTTTGAGTTCTTCTACTCTGAGAAAGATCAATATAAAAAATCAGTCTATACACTAGCAATGAACAGTCCTAAAATGCAATTAATAAAAATTTAATTTATAATAGCATCAAAATGGTTAAAATGCTTGAGAATAAATTAATCAAAAGTGTAAGACTACTGAAAACTAACTACAAAGCTTTGTTGAAGGAAATTTTTAAAAGCCTAAAAACAGGCTCAGCACCTGTAGCTCAGTGGTTAGGGGACCGGCACATAAACCAGGGCTGGCAGATTAAACAACAATGACAACTACAATTAAAAAAAAAAAAAAAAAACAGTGGGGCGTTGTGGTAGGTACCTGTAGTCCCAGCTATTAGAAGGCTGAGGCAAGAGAATCCCTTACGCCCAAGAGTTTGAAGTTGCTGTAAGCCGTGATGCCACAGCACTCTACC